TCACCGGATTATCCAGCCACTCTTCTCAGCCAACTGTATGTAATTTGGTCCTAATCACACATGGTCTCCTGGATTTGGGGAAGGCTAAAATATACAATCTGGTGAAGACTAAGAAGAGAAGGCATGATCCATGCTGAGTAAAGGCTTTCCAGGGTGCATACCCTCGGGTCATACATACACCTCAACAACACTTCAGTTATCTCTAAGCCTTTGAGAGGGAACTGACACTGACTCTAACCACTTCAACAGCTATCAAAATACCTGAAAGAAAATCCTGAATCCATTGCCCTCGAGTCCAGCCTTGGCAGACAAAAGAAAAATGAAGAGGAACCCAATAGAAAGATGCTTTTTAAGGCTATCATTAAGAAATCCCTGTTGGGGAATCCTGCTGTGAGGGTCACAGTCTTCCATGTCCGGATAGCTCTAAGGAGCTCTGTGCCTGATGGAAAGACTCCTCTTTTCAACAGGGGGCCTCCTACCTCTCTTTCTGACTCACCTTTTGAAGTGGTCGCCACAGATGCCCTACCAAAAACATGGCCTCTGGCATAGGAACTGCCAGGTTTTCCTGTGTGATAATCAGACAATGTCTGGCAGCCTGGCAGGAGCCCACCACCACATGTAAATGAGGCATCCTAAAAGCACCTATCCATTAAGGCTTTTGCCACTGCCCCCACAGTATAAAATATCCTGGTTTCCCCTAATTAATTGGAGCTGAATCACTAAGACCTGGAGCTGAGCTGAGTCACTGAATAAAGGAGCGGTACTGAGCTGAGTTCTGTGCCTTACTGCCTACGATCCAGTCTCTCCGGAGAGGGCTGTCTCTTCGTAAACCACGACTCACAGAGACCCTGCTTTCACCGTTTCTCGCACCTCCCCTCGTGACCTGGTGGGCAACGGGTCTCGAACTTAGAGGGAGTGCACGGTAGAAATTAAAACAAAACCCAACCAGGCAGCTGACAGCGGTCCTAGAGCCGCCAGCTCCGATAGTAGAGACCCTCAGCAACGCGGTGCGCAAAACCCGCGCACCCCAGCGGCGGAGAGCCAGGGACCCAAACAACAGATGCGTCCCGTGAGACCCGCCGCACTCCAGCGATGTGTGGGAGACCGGTGCCACGCCCAGCAGCTGGTGCTCCGCGAAACCCACACGCCCATACTTGACCACCAGAGAAAATGTGATATAGCTTCAGCCTTAGGGTCCCTCTTCCCCTCAACTCTCCTCCAACAGAATATTCGGGTATGTTTTGGAGGCCAGCCCCTGGGCTAGACTCCATCAGGGATGGACAAATGGTGAAGGTGCAGCACATCCATGCTGAGGCACCTACCTGCATTGCGAATCCTCTCTTTGTACTGCTGGTCCAGCTTTTTCATCCTCTTCTGATATTCCTGTAACGTACCTGATTGAATGTTTGCGAAACAGAAAGTAACTCTGAAAATCAATCTGCTTATGCACTTTTTTTCCAAAAATCATTTTCTAGCACCAACAGTGTTTGTTTTAGCAACACTGGAAAAGAAAAAAAGCCCAGGAGAGCTGCACCTGAGAGGAGTTAACTGGATGTGGGCTCTGGGCTACAGCACACGGCAGATACCACCCAAATATTATGTGGCACCCACCCCCTGCCTGTGGATTGCTCTCCAGGGAGTGAGGGTGGGCGGAACAGCAGAGAGCCAAGTGACTCTGACCTCTGGGTCCTACGGCCTAAAATAAGGGGCCTCCTTGGAGAAAGCCCAGCCTCCTTCAGTGAAGTCTAGGTCAAGGATAACCAGGAGACCTTCCTGCAATGGTCAAAATGCTCTACATTTGCAAAGTCCAATCCAGGCGCTACTAGCCATATGGAGGCTATTTTAACACCTAAAATACAATTAGTACAACTCAGGAATTAGAATACTAATTTTATTCAATTAAATGTAAACAGTCACATGTAGCTGGTAACAAAAATCAGATGACCCAGGTACAAATTCTGAAACTCCTGCCTGCTCCCTGTTCTACCCCCAGGGTCTGATTTGTGAGGGAGTGTTTTCTGATACAAGGGCTGTCTGTTGGCCAGTCCAGAGGAATGGACCTCCAGCAACTGATGCCTAGTGGAAAAGCAGTCTCACTAACAAGGGGCTCCGTGACATGATGGCAGAGGAGCCACCCCGCCACATCCTCACACTGGTCTAACACTATGCTCCAGGCTCTTCCTTCTTCACTTGGCAGATGACACAAGATGAGATGACACACCCCAAAGTCCTATTCCTAGAGAGCAGCAAAGCTGGTACCAACTTCTCATAGAAGGGCAGAAGATGCTCTGGGCCCCAAGCTGCCAAATCAATGTAACTTATAATTTGCCAAGAAAGACAACAGCGAGGCTAACCGATAGACAATTAACATTCAGCTTAGGAGGCTTAGGAGAGCAAAGCTATGTTCATTCAGAGAGAGAGAGAGAGAGAGAGAGAGAGAGAGAGAGAGAGAGAGAATGTACCACAGAATTCATGTGGAGGTCAGTGGACAACCTTCAGGAGCTGATTCTCTCCTTCCACCATGAAGACTCTGGACACTGAACTCGGGTCATTAGGCTTGGAGGTTAGCACTTTTACCTGCTAAGCCATTTCACAAACCCACAAAGTCCCTCTTTAAAGAACAACAGAAAAGGGGCTGGAGAGATGGCTCAGCAGTTAAGAACACTGGGTGCTCTTGCAGAGGACCTGGGTCTGATTCGCAGCACCCACATGGCAGCTAACAACCATCCATAACTCCAGTTCCAGGGAATTCGATGCCCTTTTCTGACCTCCTTGGGCACTGCACAACACAGGTACACCTACCTACATACAGGGAATACACTCATACACATAAAATAAAAACTAAAAAACAACAATAACAACAAAAACCTAGCTTTAAGCATAGTGGTTTTCAATTCATGCCCAATAGAAGGCCCCAAATGAAATTTAACTTGAAGAATTTGCTACATACTGAAAACAAATTTTAAGAAAGTTTGAGGGGGCTAGAGACATGGCTCAGTGGTTAAGAGTGCTGACTGCTCTTGCAAAGGACCTGAGTTCGATTCCCAGCACCCACATGGCAGCTAAGAACCATCATTAACTCCAGTTCCAGGGGAATCCAACGCCCTCTTCTGACCTCTGTGGAACTGTACAACACGGGTGCACTTACACACATGCAGGCAATACAAACATACACATAAAAATATTAAAATATTCTTTTTAAAAAGTTTGATAATCACTTTTTGGGGGCTAGAGAGATGGCTCAGCAGTTAAGAACACTGGTTGTTCTTGCAGTAGACCCATGTTCGAATCCCAGCACCCACATGGTAGCTAACAACTGTCCATAACTCCAATTCCAGGGGATCCGACAGCCTCTTCTGACCGCGGGCATTGCACGACATGGGTGCACTTACCTACATGCAGGCAATACACTCATATACATAAAAATAAAAACAATAAATAAAATATTAAAAAAAAAAGAAAATCACTTTTCTGATGAGAAAGCAAAATGTGTAGCAGATAGCTAAAACAAAGCAGACAGACTCTGTGAGGGTGATTAAAGAGAGAGGTAGGTATACAGACTTCAAGAGCTTGTGAAATGAGGGCTCTGTGAAGGCAAGTCATCACATGCCTACCTTCCTGTAGCTGCTGCAGCTGCCTCTTCAGAGAAGCCAGCTTGTCCTGGTACATCCTGGAAGAGAAGAAGAGCTCAGTTCCCAGACACTGCACACACCACAAGCCATCCTGGGACAGGCACTGCTCTTTAGGAGAGAGTCACAGGAAAGTCTGATTTAAAAGGTTCCAGCTGAAGGGAATCACAAAAAGACAGGCTCCTGAGTTCCTGAGTCATGTCCTAATTTTGTGCATTTCCCATGAATCAATCTAACATGTACAAATGTGAGAACAGCAGATGCCGATAAAAGCCTATGGTAAAGAGGCTTTTAAGGTACGTAAGAACATACACAGAACAGTTGAAAGAACAGTGCCACTTCCTAGTTTGCCCCTAAAACGGAGAAGATGCATAGATGACATTAAATACAACCTTTGTATCAACCCAACAACTAGATCATAAATGGCAAAAGGGGGCTGTCCAGCTGTGTCATTAGGGAAAGGTGCTTGCCCAATGGCCTGAGTTCGATCCCCACAACCCACAGGGTAGAAAGGGGAACCAATTCACACAAGCTGTTCCTGACCTCCACTCAGCAGCACGGCATACACATGCCTACACACATGCAAAGCAAATCCATAAAAATGTAATTTTAAAAGATATAAATGACAGAGGAATAAGATAATGTCTCAGTATATTTTTTTCCTCTACAGATAGCACAGTCATGAAAACAGAGTCAACAACCTTCACATCCTCTTTAAATCATTGCCTTTTCAGGATCAGAAAAATAATACTAATTCAGGCTCAAAAGGTAGAATGCAGGATGTACTTACAGCACCAGCTGGGGTGAACACAGCATATATTAAGCAAGAGAAGGTGGTGTGTTATTTTTTGCCTCTCATACCAATGGATTAGAGGCAATTTTACTCCCCAGCAAGTCTGAGCTGTGAATTCCACGTGCAAATCATATTTTTGGCAATATTTTTGCTCCTACCTGAGAAACATTCCCAATTTCTCAGGGGCAAAAACAGGACTTGCAGCCTAAGATAAACCATACAATGTACATAAGGCAGACAAGCCTTTTAATTGCTCAAATAAGGCCAACAAATCCAACCCACCTGTCTGCAGGAAGGATGAGCAGCCTTTGGAGCCCTTGGTCCACCTCTTTCAGGGGAGACCTTGAGCACTTCCTGATGCTCACCTGAACTCATTAGAGGTGTTTAGTTTCAAACTCAATGGTTGTCTAGCTTGCTACGGAGATACTGTCAATCAAAAGCTGTCTCTAAAAATGATGCATAAACATGGCAGATGCCTAGACCTTGCCTTAGAAGTCTATGGAACCCAGGGCATCACATTCCCACCACATGGCAGGAGTCAGCCAATGTTTGTGACTGAGTCTATCTCTGAAAGGGAATGCTTGCACAGTGAGAAAGGAAAACAGGATAAAGTCAACTACTCTGAGATCACTTCCAGGAGGAAGAGGAAGTGTGTGAGATGCATTTCAAATGTGCCCAAGTCCATCAGCAAAAAGCTATCAAGAAAGAAAACCAAACAGAGTTTCAGAGTAAAACTGAGAACACACGCATCAACTATTAAGTTAAAACCTTGTTTAGCGACAGTCAGACCTGATTGAGTTACCCACTTTGGGTTTCAAAGCCTGAAAAGGAAGACACAACCCAGAGGACAGCCACACACATTTGGGAGAACCTAAAGGGACGGAACACGGCCCACTGGCTTATAAGAACTGAACAGCTCAAAACCAAGAGCCTTAAAATAACTGGGTGTCGCGGTTCATATCTGTAATCCCAGCACTTGGGAGGCTGAGGCAGTTCAAGGCCACCCTGGGCTACAAAATGAATTCTAGATCAGCCTGTACCACAGAGTGAAACCTACCTCAAAAAATAAAAACAAGGGACTGGAGAAACGGCTCAGCAGTTAAGAGCACTGACTGTCTTGCAGAGGACCCAAGTTTGATTCCCCCAACACCCACATGGCGGCTAACCAACTGTCCATAACTCCAGTTCCAGAGAATCCAATGCCACTTTCTGACCTCTGTGGGCACTGCACGACACGGGTGCACGTACCTACATTCAGGCAATACACTCATACACATAAATAAAAATAGTAAACAAAAAACAAAATAAAAACAAAAAACAAACCCAAACTTAGTGAACATATCTCCTCGGACCCTCCAGCTAGGCATCCAATAGAAGCAGGGGTGCGACACTGACATGCACCTGTTGACCCAGGTACTTGAGGGGCTGATGCAGGAGCATGGCTGGAGCCCAGAAGTTTGGGACCAGCCAGGGCAACACATAAGACTCTGGCTTTTGGTTTTTGCTGCTGGTTTTCTTTTTCTTTTAAGCACATGTGGCTGTGTCTAAAGACCAAGAGAAGGCGAGGTGAGGATGTGTGAAAGGAACAGATCAGCCAGAGCAGCAGGGTAGGAAGGAGTCAGCAGCCTACCCTCCCTTCCCTGAAATCTCAGAACACCTAGCACATTGGCTAGCATGGGGGTGGAGGGTGCTGCAAGATACTGGTCACCATCTCTGAGCACCCATTTTCACATCTAAGAATATACACAGTAAAGGGTCCCCTTCCGTTTTTCTATGGCCTTACTCCCCTGCCCATCACTTCCATCTTGATTCCTCCTAGCCTACCCTCCAAAGACCCTCATAACAGGAGACTGAGTCAGCGTGACTGAAGGGGAAAATTATACAGATATATGTGAACTTTGCAGGCCCTGTGGTCAAAACCACGGAGCCACTACAGAGATTCTGTAGCAACTCTATATTGCAGAAGAGTACAGAGGCCTACTCACTGCTCCTTCATTTCCACGTAGTCTTCTTCATCGTGCTTCGCCAGGTCGGTTTCACTGGCATCCTCAGTGTCTGAGGAAAATGAAGGAAATGTCAATTAAAATCCTAATTCACAAGCTGCTATCACCTGACACAGTAATTCAGGGACTTCTGGAAACAAAGTCCTACTCCATGTGAGCCTCTGTGAACCTACTAAAAGAAGATATGGTGAAAAAAACAAAAAAAGTCTCCAACTTGGGTTTATGCCAAGAGCCTACTTTGATATGAAGCGTAGCCAGAGAGGAGGGCTCAATTAGGCAGTCATGACCAAGGTCACAGAAGCAATATACAATGGTTCACAAAGGAGACAGGGCTCGCAAGACGGCTCAGTGGGTAAAGGCACTTGCTATACAAGCCTAGCAACCTATGTTCCATCCCTGGAACCCATGTAAAGGTGGAATGAGAGAACAAAGTTGTCCTCTGACTTCTACAAGTATGTCAGGGCAGGAGCACCCATCGCCACCCACACAATAAAATTTTTAAGAGAGATGTGAGCATGAAGACAGGATGCCAGGGACACTTAAGGCCTACTCACCACCCAAAACAACCCACTGCACAGTTCTTTCGCACATGCTCACTTCAACGCCTTCACGCCATTTCACATCAGATATACAAGCAATGAACAGGAGGAATCTCCCCCAACAAATCCAATTTTCAAAGTTACACCTAAAAGAAGCAGGAAGGGGCAAAATGGCCTAAAATGACTGTTGCAGAAGGTCTTAAACACCGTTCTTAAACAAGTGGCTGTGTTGTGCATAATTTCCATGGCCCCAGTCCAGCTGAGGGGGGTGGAATCCATTTTGGCTTCACTGCTCCCCCTCGTGGGCATTTAAGCACTGCAGAGTTTCACACTGAAAATCCCCAAGCCCTGCAGGCTTTTGAACGTAGTTGAAAGCAAATTGCAATCTGTTTCTTCTGCTTTATGCTCTGCATAGCCTTTTTGACAGGCTGTTGCAGGCCCAGGTCTCTACAAGCCCATCTCCTTCCCTTCAGTGGAAGGGACTTCACAGAGGTCCTGTCAGGAAGCAGCCAGCTCCATCACCACGCACTTGAGAGACTGAGATTAGTAACACAATTCTACAATTGGCCTAGCGTTTGCTTTACAGCCCACTTAGAGCCAGAATAGTCCACTCCGCCCACATACAGGCCTCTACCTCCTCTTCTCCCTCGCCTTTCCGTATCTCTCTCCTCCACCTGGCTCCTTCCTCAATCTCTGTAGGTGTTCCTCATTACTTGCCAAAGGGTAAACAAAATCCAGATGGAAAAGCCCGGTTCAGAGACACAATCATGAAAATGCAGAGTCCAGGACAGGACAACAAACCCTCCCTCCCCCTTGCAACTATGTGGAAAAACATCCGCTTAGTGACAGAGTCAGTGCCCATGTCATTTAATCCTCACACCTATCCATGAAGTAGGAGATAATAACAACTCCACTGCAAGTGGGTAAACCGAGACTGGAAAGCTTAAGGTTGCAAAGCTTGGGTAAGTACCAGCCAAATGCATACTTCTGGCTGATTCCAGGTCCCCAGTTGGAGCATTCTGGGGAAAGGGGAAGTTGGGAGCAAGGAAACCAAGACGGGCCTTACTCTGATCCTCTTAGATGAAGACAAAAAGGGGCACTATTTCTTAAAAGGACCTTCACCCCCTACCCCCATAACTGGAGAACACACACACCTGGGGCGCTTTCCGGGAGGGGTTGGGGGGGTGACATCCCAGCCCCGCCCCTCCCGCAGCCGCGCCTGTTCCCCGGTCCCCCGCCCCCCAGGTCCCCGGCCCCAGGCCCTACCTTCGTCCGACTCGCGGCCCCGGCAGCTGCGCTCGTCGTCCTCGGCGCTCTCCAGCTCCTCGTCGTCCTCGGGGTAGTACTCCGGGGCCGGCGGCGCTGCAGCCGGGGCGGGCGCCGGAGCCAGCAGACCCGCGGCGCTCATGTCGCCGCCTCGCGCCGCAGCGCAGCGTGTCCCGCGGAGATCGCGGCCGCCTGCCTGAGGTCCGGACAGCCCCCACCTCACCGAGAGGAAGTCACGGCCACCCAGTCTCCGTCTCCGTCGGCGCCGAGCTCCGCCCCCAGCGCCCGCGCTCGGCAACTGGGGCCTCGCGTGACCGGACACTTCCGGGTCGCGAGCTGCCCGGCGACGGCCTGACTCGGCCATGCTGGAGGCGACGAGCCAGACGCCGGGCGCCGCTTCCTGACAGACTTCAGCCCCTTCATCGCTGTCTTAAAAATCCTCAACTGGTCACGGGGCGGGGCACGGGCTGGTGTCTCTGGAGTCAGGCAGATCCGTGGACAGCCCTGCCTGCCGTCAGGACCCCGAAGTTCTGGGACACTTCTGAAAACGGCCGCCAGGCGGCGCGCAGAGCCAAACCTAAAGCGGTGATGGAAGCAACCCTAGGGGCGGAGGCTTTGCCAGGCCTTGGACAGGTGGCGTGGTCTCTGACCTGAGAGTTCTCTAAAGCCTAGACAGCCAGAGCGTGGGTGATCAAGCAGAACAGGGGTGTCTGGCTCCGCTCCTGCTTTTCTTGCAGCCTAATTAAGAATTAAGGTCCGGCCGGGCGTGGTGGTGCACGCCTTTAATCCCAGCACTTGGTAGGCAGAGGCAGGTGGATCTCTGTGAATTCGAGGCCAGCCTGGTCTCCATTGGCGATTTCAGGCCAGCTGCGGCTACAGGAAGACTTTGTCTCAAAAAGACCAAAAAAAAAAAAAGAGTTAAGGTCCGATGCTGCTGTTCCATTGTGGGTCGGGTAAGCCGTGCTAACCCAGGCCTTGTGTATACTATTCTTCTGAATAGGGTTACTCAGTAAAGTGTTCTCCCGCTTTTTTAAAAGAGCTGCTGCCCCTCTTTCCTTGAGTATTTTTTTAAGGTGTTTTGCATAATCCAGTAACTTGTGAATTAGCTAATTCTTAGGTTAGGAAGTACAGCATTTGCCCACAGGAACTAATGTGGCTAAAATTCAAAATACAAGAACTGAGCAGCTACACGTACTAATTTGTGGGATTTTTGTGCCAAAAATAACACAGGGTTGTAAGTTTAACTCAAGAAAAAAAAAAAATCTGATAGCTTGGGTCTATAGTTCCAGCTACTCAGGAGGCTGAGGCAGTTAAGATGACAAGATCAAGGCCTGCCAGGCCTACAGAGTTCAAAGCCAGTGAGAACGCCTTAGTGACCCTGTATCAAAATAAAGTGAAAAGAGGGGTCTGGAGAGATGACTCGGCTGTTAAGAACACTGACCTTGCAGAAGACCTGGGTTTGAATCCCAACACCCACATGGCAGCTAACAACTGTCTGTAAGGCCAGTTCCAGGGGATCTGACAGCCTCTTCTGTCCTCTGCAGGCATTGCATGACGTGGGTGCACTTACCTGCATGCAGGCAATATACGCATACACATAAAATAAAAATAATAAAATATATATTTTTTTAAAGTGATGCAGTTCAGTGATAGCAGGAGACCTTAGCTTCAGTCTTTAGTATATGAAAAAAAAAAAAGAAGGATGTGTCAAAAAAAAAAAAAAAATGACCCCCACAGAAAAGTCAAGAAATTGCAAAGTTTATCACTGATGCAGAGACAGGGTAGAACCTAACACAGTATTCTGATTTGCCCATCCTTTGGGATCAAATTGATCTCCAAATTGCCTCCCCCCTCCCAGACATCTGAAAATGAGAACATTCATCTCAGTTCTATTTATTTTGACATTTCCTATTTCCTACCTTGTTTTAATTAAAATCCTGGCTCACTTTGTAAGGAATGTTTCCTCCCAACAAAATGCAAGAATTTCTAGAGCAGAATGCTGGGATGACTTTTCCTATAGGAATCATCCTCAGTGCACAGGCAGAATTTCCGAACTGTTTCTTGACCCAAGGATGAAGTCATCTTCCCCCTCCCCCTTTTTTTTTCTTGGCTGCTGTTGGATCACATGTAAATTATCTGTAATCAACAGTACTGAGCAACTTGAACTCCTATCTCTAGCAATGTTCATAAAGCAGAAAAATAACTGGCAACATTTTTGAAATCAGAATTCACTGATAAAATGAATCAAAAAGAAGTTGAGTTTTGTTACTAAATAGTTAAGTCGTTTCAAGGAGCTGGGCCTTTTTTTTCAGTCTTAGTTATTATGTCATCTTGGTTTCAGGTGCCATGTGTTAATGGTCCCGCTTTTTTTTTTTTTTTTTTTTTTTTTTTAATGTACTACAGAACGCTACAGAGACTCAGTTAAACCTTTGGGTGGTGACAGTTTACCCAGTTTTTTCTGTGGAGACGGCAACTGCAGAACTGGTCAAATGAGCACTTAACTACTAAGTATTCTTTAGTGAAGAGGGAAACTACTTTAAAAAATTACCTCATGACTGGTCTTGCCCAACTTTCATAGTTATTTGCTATGAATCTGTACAGTGTCCTTAGGCCTAAAAAACACCAAATTCCCTCAAATTCAAGTTTCACCCCCTTAAAGTCTTCCTCTGTAGCTCTCCCAAATATGGTACTCAGCCACCCCATTCAGGATCTACCCCAGAACTAGACCTAAAATTGAAATCCTGCAGCCCCACATTTACAATATCTGGTGTCTTTACAGTCAGCCTCTGTGTTTCTGACCATCCAGCTTTAAGGGGAAGCATCCAGATTGGGAGGAAGTATGATTTTCAAACACATAGTGGGGTTTTTTGTTTGGTTTGGTTTGGTCTTTTTGAGTCAGGATCTCTCTGTATCCCCAGCTGGCCTGGAACTCGGTATGTAGACTAGGTTGGCCTTGAACTCACAGAGATCCGCCTGCCTCTGCCTCCCAAGTGCTGGCATCAAAGACCTGTGCCACCACACCCAGCCTTCAAACATAGTGTTTAGCAGAATCAAAGTGTGTTCCTGAAATGAAACTATTTCTTGTTAAAATTATGGTGAGAAAGGTAGTTTTCAGCTTTGTTGCTGACTGAATCAACATATCCAGTTCCACAAATAAGTCAGAATGGGTCCCGGTGTCTGATGCACTTTCATCCCTGGCAAGTTCTGTCTTTCAGCTTCGCCCAGGATGAGTCTGGGTCATTGAAGGTTGCACTTGGGGTAAAGGGCGGTGTCCTTTTGCCATGGGTTCACACAAAACCAGTAAATCCATGGCTGTGAGAGGTCATGTTAATGTGTTTGCGGGAACCTTGCTAAAACTAACAGGAGTTCCCTGACCACAACTCCTCACAATCAGATTTTTTGGGGTTTTTTGTTTTGTTTTGCTTTTGGCTTTTCAGACAGAATCTATCTAGCTCAGGCTGGTCTTGAACTTGCGATCCTCTTGCTTCTGCCACCTGGGTATTGAGATTACAAGTGTGGCCTCTTATCCAGCCAAAATGAATATTGTCTTCATTTTGGACCTATCAAAATGTGTCCCGACCGTGCTAAGCACTTAGCTGTTGTACTCATCTACTTTATTGCTTCTACCCCCTTCCAACAGCAGTAAACTGACGCCTGCTGAAACAAGGCAAGGCCCGAGAGCCAAGGACTGTCTACTCGTCCCAGGCGAATAGACTGACTTTTGGAGGACTGACTAAGCTGTGCAAGGTCCCGCGGGAGAACCGGGGCCAAACGCTCTCCCATGGTGGGCTTTAGAAACCTCCCGAGACAAGCAAGGGCGTGGGGAGGAGAACCACGAACTTTGAACCTAGCGCAGCTCAAATATTAGTGACCGCACCCTGGCGGGCCGAGAGCAACTCAAGCTTCCAAGTCTTCCGCGTCTGGGGAGGCCCCGCCTATAGCCCCGCCCCTATCCCCGCTCCACAGGCTCCGCCAATCCCCTAGCTCCATCGGCCGCTCGGCTTCCCAGGCACGTCCAATCGAACACCTATATGCGGCCTGGGCCCCGCTCCCCGCGATCGGGGAAGGACTATAAAGAGCCTATGAGCTCAGAGCTGGGGGCGGGGCCGGGGGCGGGATCATGTGGGGGCGGGGTTGGGGGCGGGGCGCGCTCGGCGCAGTCCGGTGCGATTGGCCACCCCTGGCAGAGCCGCACCTCGGACAGCAGCGGCAGCGGCCGCGAGGATCCGGGCGGTGCGCGGCGGGGGTCCTGCGTGAAGAGTGGGGCGCGACGCGGAGAGCGCGGGCGGACGCTGCGCGCGGCGACTCCGCACCGGAGACCCGGCCTGGGGGCCGCCCGGATCCGAGAGCGACTCGAGACAGTGCGAACCCGAGCGGCGGCGCTGCACGGCCGGTGACAGCAGGCTGAGGTGAGCGCGGGGGACAGCGGAGTCCCCGCGGGGCTGGGCAGTGCGTGAGGGACCGAGAGATGGGGCGGCGTGGGGAGCAGGGAACCCGGAGGGACGGGACGGCGTGGTGAGCAGGGGACCCACAGGGACGGGACGGCGGGGTGAGCAAGGGACCCGGAGGGACCAGACCGTGGGGAGAGCCAGGAGACCTAGAGAGACCGGGACGGCGGGGTGAACGAGGGAACCTAGAGAGACAGGACCGTGGGGTGAGCGAGGAGACTCAGAGGGACCCGACCGTGGATGAGATGAGCGGGTCCCCGCGGGGGTGGACAGTGCGCCGGGGCCTCTGAGACAGGACGGCGGGGTGAGCAGGGGACCCAGAGGACGGGACCGTGGGGGTGAGCAGGCGACCCAAAGGGGCAGGACTGCGGGATGAGCGAGCAGACCCCGAGAGAGACCTGGACAGTAGGGTGAGCGGAGGGGACCGGGAGAGGGTCTGGACTAGGATGAGTTTAAAGGTACCTCGGGAGGGATGAGATGGCTGTATAAGTTAGGAGACCGGGAGAATGACCCCCACGGTGGGATGAGTGGAGAGAACTAAGAGGGACCCAGACGGCCGGGAGGGTGGAGGGGTCACAGGTTGACTGGAGGGTAGGGATGAGTGGAGGGGACCCCGAGAAGGACCCAGACAGTGGGTCAGTAGTGGGGACCGAGGGGTGTGGCGGAATGAGCGAGGAGTCCCCCAGAGAGACCTGGACAGTGACGTGAGTGGCGGGGTCCAGGAGAAGGACCTGGACATTGGGTCAGTGGGGGAAACCCCGAGAGGGGCCGGGACAGCGGAATCAGCAGGGGACCAGAGAGGACCAAGACCCGCAGGATGAAGGGAGGGGACCCAAGAGGGACGGGGACCCGGACAG